GAAGGGAATCAGGGAAGCGGGGATATATGTGGGCTCAGTCGACATCGAGTTTACCATACCTCGTGTTATTCGCCTCTCTTCCCAGTAACAAGCTCAAGCTAGAGCACTTACTGAAGTGGGATAGCTGAGGAGCAGAATTTCCTCCCATGTCGGCCGGCTCATACTGCATAAGCGACTATGTGCAAAATCCTGGTCAGTGCGGAGAGAAGAGTCGCTTAGGTAAATAAAGACTGCGTTTCCTTCAAAATTTAGGAGGAATTGGGTGTCTTCTCTCGAATTATACAAGGAGTCCGAACAAAGTCCGTACTGAAATGCGGCCTTCCGTGAGCAAAACCACCGTGTGGTGAGTAAGCCAGCAGAGCAATAACATCTTCAACGGATTGATGAAGAGCGTTCCAAGATTATTTGAGCGCTACAAGATCGCAAGTCTCCATTTCTCCGTGGAAAAGGGCTCAACTTAATGAGCGATGGTGTGGCTGTTAAGACCCTTCGCGATCTTGGACTCTACCTCCTTGTTTCGTTCTACAGGTGGTCTGAGATCGACGTGGAAAAGTTTATTCTAGGTGGATATGGCAGAAAAAGAGGGTACAGGATGATCGCGTGAAAATCGCAGATGGTTTCAATGTAACGTAATTTCGGCGGTGAATCCCTTATGGTTTGAGGCACCTTTGAACGACTGAGTAGCTAGAGCTCGCTTTTGTTTCCGTTCACAAAGATTCCACAGGGTATCGTGAAGTTCTTTCGAAGCGAGTCTTACCATTTTTTCAACAAGGATCCCCTCTATCCTTGATTTTCACACACGATAACGCGGCTGTCCATGCCGGTCCCTTCCGCGCCAGATGGAATTGCAGGAAAAAATGTGGCAGTTATCTGGTGGCCACCATGTTATCTGAATTAGATTCCAATAGAGAATCATTGGGCCTTAATTGTTATAAAGTTCCACAGCAAAGTAAAGCAAAATGGAACAGCCGAAAAGCTGAAAAGGTCGATCATCGGCGCCCAGACGAATTTCGATCCTACTGTAATAGCTAATTTGGCTACCAGCATTTCAAAACGTATTATTGTGTTCCTTATGATTATTGGGGGGTCATCCCATTATTGAAAATTCGTGACGTTTTTTCGTTATAGTAAAATCTCTCGACAAGTGATGTGTAGTCATATTTGCGAAACGGTGAAAATACGTTCTAAGGAAGATATTTTAATAATTCTGAATCGAGATTTCTCCAGAAATCAAGTATCAAGGTTTTTCGTTATGGGGAAACTATTGGTAATAGCGGCATTTTCCAAAAATGCACAGCAGCAGTTTATAAAGCTTCAAAAAATTATAATGCCACCCACCGCCTAAAAATCCAAATGCGGCCTTCCGTGCGTTGAAGTTGCTGCAACGGTTAACCCTGGTCTAAAGGTAGGTGGTGTATGGTGGGTGGCGCCTCCTACTACGCACACGGTTCTAGGTGCAATTTCTGGATCTCAAGTCCAACTAAGCATTTCATCAGTCGGTGTCCGCTTGACACGGATTGAGCTCTTATGACAGAGTAAAAATTGACCTATACATATCTCTCCCTCTCTCCTTCCTTTTTCACAGTCACTGTAAGTCCAAATCGCAATCAAGTGCCACATATGAGTAAAGGTGAAAATGGAGTTTGAGGAGGTCATTCTTCCCTGCTTTACTTCTGTAACGTTAAGGGTAAGGGTAAGAGCTTGATACCACGCACTCGACTCATCTGAGGTGTGCCTTTCGACAGTCAGTGACCGATTCCTCCTTAAATGGTGGGAAAGAAGGATTCTGATTCAGCTGGACTCTTTGCATAAACTTCAAGGAGAACAGGGAGAGGGGAGGGGGTAGGTGAGGCAGGAGACGTCCTTGATGGGTGGACCAACAACCATGTGCAT